GTAGAATCATGGTCTAATTCAGTTGTGTTGTTTTTACGTGTTACTATCTTTACGGTCTGTTCTCGGGGTTTGCATCATAGTATGCGAGAATGCGGTTACGTGCTTTCAATATTGTTTAATTAGTGAATTTATTAGTATAATTATTAGTGAACAATTGTCTGGATACCGACAAAAGGTTGAAGACAACCCACGCAACTATCAACAAGTAAGATGAGCTTGTTGCGTTCTAATTTAGAGCTCATCTATGACCTGCTGTACGAATCATCTCTATGTATTAAAAACGTGGTAAAGATCATTAATCTTTTCAAGATATTCCATGGTACACCAAATTGCTTCATGCGGGACGATGGCCGGGACAACAACGGCGCTGTCAGGACGAGCTCCCCCCGCTGCCCCCGAGCTGAATATTATTCAGGGGAGTGGCTGACGCTGGGCAGCAACTCTGGGTTACATAATATTGACCCCCATAAAATGAGCTACAATTTCAGTTCCGCCCCAAATGTTGATGACACACGAGTTACAAAACTGTATTGATTTTAGGGTTCTCCTACTTTTTACTGCTTGTTTTATGCACAATTTCACATTGTGGTGTGAGTTTTAACTCTATATTATTTTCAAAGAAATTCAGTTAAAATTCGAAAAGTCCAATTCATTCCCGTTGCCTTCATCCATTCATCTTCAGTAGCAGAACAAACGGCCAGCTCGCCCCCCTCCTCCCTTACACCAGCAGACTATCATCTGACCTCGCACTTTGCATGCCTGACCTCGCGCCGGGCACACCTGTGCCCCAAGCGTTTGTACGGGACGTCTGACGGTCCGGCTGAGCTCATCAAGCGTAGCGCACTTTGCATGCCTGACCTCGCGCCGCGCACACCTGTGCCCCAAGCGTTTGTACGGGACGCCTGACGGTCCGGCTGAGCTCATCAAGCGTAGCGCACTTTGCATGCCTGACCTCGCGCCGCGCACACCTGTGCCCCAAGCGTCTGTACGGGACGCCTGACGGTCCGGCTGAGCTCATCAAGCGTAGACGGTTGATCTCACCCCGAGGTAAGATCAACCCTTGATCAAGGCCTCCTTACCTGGAGGCCTTGATCTCACCTCGACGGTGCAAGTTACCTGAGGTGCGGCATATAGAGTTGGCCTTCCATTTCTGAGCTTTCTGCCATTATAATTTGGGGATTCCTATGAAGCTTAGCCGGAAATATTGAGTTAATGCATATTGCTTCGCCGCAAATAAATCATTTCATAACCAGAATATACCTGCTCCTTCATTCATACTTGAAAGCTCTAAGCATTGATTTCTCTTGATACTCGGAATTTCTTTAATTTTTTACATGTGGCATTGGAAGGGCGAGGAGACCGTGGGCGGTCGGTTGAGCTCCGGATAATAATTTTTTACATGTGGCATTGGAAGGGCGAGGAGACCGTGGGCGGTCGGTTAAGCTCCGGATACTTGACCTTTTGTTCTCGTAATTAGTCTCTCTTGACTTACGATTTTTCTCTCAAATGAGCTCTATTAACCTTTCCTCTACGAACTCTACGAAGCCTACGAACTCTTTAGCAAACTGCAGTCGTATTCATTTATCGCATCATACTTGAATGTTTTCCAGTTTTTGACAGTGAACATGATGCGGTGTTGTGAAGCAGATGAAGAGTTGTTATTGCTTGAGGCTCAAACTCAGTTCCTTTCACTCGCAATTAAAATTTGTTCGCAACGACGAGTGAGAAGAAAATAAAGTCTTATGGGAGCAGACATTAGGGAATCAGTGTACCTTAACTGCGAGGCCCGTAGGATGGGTGTACCTTAACTGCAAGGCCCGTTGGATAATTTCACCATAGTAGAAATGCTTAAGTAACTTTAAATAACATCAACGTAGTAGAGTGGTCGGTTCAGATTTAAAAGGTCTCCCTAATAGTTGAGAGGTAATATTTTGGTGTAACTGCCATTGAACAATGACTCCCAAACTATCAGTGTTCAAATAACACTTAGAAGAACTTTAGAGCCGCTGTGTGCCGCCAGGTAAATATTTATGCACCTCATTAGTTCATGGAAAAAATATTTATCATGAGTCATGTATTAAATGATATCTTTAAATAAAGCCATGTGATCTTTGAAACCTTCACATACCTTAATAATTATCGCGCAGACGCGACCCAATTAGAAGAGGAGCAACCACAGCCTCTATACTGACGGATTACTGACCTCCGTTGCTTACATTAGTTTTATCTACATGACCTTGGCCACAGACAGTATCGGCTAGTTCACACTTCATAAGAGAGTTGTATGATCAAATAAATATAGAAGTGGATGCGTAGCTCTGATACACATCTTGTACATGTTCTGACAACGTTTGGTTCTGCTGCGCCGACTACTCCCTGTTCAGTTAACATTAAAAAATTATAAGAACCAGGTGTCAGACAGGACATATTCAGCCCGGTTCCAAATGGTACCAAGCTGTAATTTTTCACATACAACGAAAAATAAAAATTTGAACATATTTTTTTATTACCGTCATGAGTGATAATATAGTCACATGAAACCAAAAAATATCAGAAAATAAATCTCAGAAATCTTGGATTAATCGGTGCACAGTATCTGAAAATTACTTTGGTCTTCTCAAGCATCGCTTTCATTTGACTCAAATAGTTCTCTGGAAAAAATCTACGTGAAATTTCTAAAATATCCTGGACGACACAAGCGGGATTCTGTTCGATTGCTGCGGCAGATCGATACGTGCCAACGATTGCCGCCAGTGACAAAGAAGTAAATCTGCCTTTGCATTGTCTTAACACCCAAAATATCCATATTTCGTAATATAGTGCACGCAGTAATAGAAGATCGTTGTCTCTTTGTCCAGAATCAACTCGAAGTGCCTCAGTAATATCACATATACTCCGTTGAGTGCTGGGAGGGTTTCCAGCGTTACCAGCAGTTCCTGGGGAGACTATGTCAACTTTGCCTGTTATATTCATCAGTATGGGATAAAATGCTGCTGATGCTAGGACAAACCTCAAGATTTGAGGATCTTTTCTTTTTAAACAGTTCCCCCTACAGCATTAGTCAACGATCGTTGATCCATTCGACACATTCAGTGCAGCAAATGGGTACAGTGGGCAAGAGTTTAAGTTTATTATCCGTGTTGCAAATAACAATGAATAGTAAGAACGTTCTCTTCCTCGTTAGCCATTTTAAATGTCACTTTCCATCTAATATGACGTTTGTTATGCATTGGGGAATTGATGTAATTTATTGCTATACATTCATTTTTAAATTGCTATGTATTGGGTTGATTAATTTTCTTTATACTTTTACGTTATCAATTACCTTAACTGTGACCTCCAGCAGTAGTGTGTTAATTGTCATTGTATCGGGAGATCTTGGGGAAAGGGAAAGGGGAAAATTTCACCTGTTAAAAAGAGCCATATAATTAGAACAGGTTCAAAAAGAAGTTAAGTTTAAACAATTTATTGGTATTCTATCCTTCGCTTGACCATCACTCGCACATCATGCGCCAAGTGACTCTTTGCTGTCCAGTTTAGCATGAAGAATAATATGTTAGGAAGTATTTTTAAATATTATTTATACTTATTCGCAGAAAATTCACATAAACAAGTTACAAACAGCATTAAATACAAACTGATGCACTCACACATAAGGTTGGCTGCATTAGAAACGCCTTGTTGTCAGTTGTCGGTTAAAAGCCATTGTCGACATTGGGCTCATGGCCTCACTAGGTACACTTTGGGGCATTAACGATGTGAGGAAATGTGAAGGTAATTTGGCTAGATTTATTTCTCCAAATAAATCTAGTATTTTTTTCGTTGAGGCATTGCCGGTAGGAAAATTCATGTATTCAGGTAAACCCCAGAAAATGTGAAAATACACGGTAGGAGTTTTAAGAACTCTCGTGTGGTCAATATGCCTCGAGACGGAAATTATCGCTCTGTTTATGACGTTCAATATTATGTAACCCAGAGTTGCTGCCCAGCGTCAGCCACTCCCCTGAATAATATTCAGCTCGGGGGCAGCGGGGGGAGCTCGTCCTGACAGCGCCGTTGTTGTCCCGGCCATCGTCCCGCATGAAGCAATTTGGTGTACCATGGAATATCTTGAAAAGATTAATGATCTTTACCACGTTTTTAATACATAGAGATGATTCGTACAGCAGGTCATAGATGAGCTCTAAATTAGAACGCAACAAGCTCATCTTACTTGTTGATAGTTGCGTGGGTTGTCTTCAACCTTTTCTCGGTATCCACACAATTGCTCACTAATAATTTTATAAATTGCACGCAAAATCTAGTTAATTTTTAATTTAAAATAATGTTGTAGCTAGCCGCGCCTCATGCGTCTCTAATTTTTGTACCGCGATTTTTCTTGTCATTTTTCTTGCGGTCATTCAAACAGTTATTTCTTATATTTATGGTGTTAAATTTGTACCCATTTTTCGATTAATGTTTTTTTTTGTATTTCGATCTTTACTAGTATTTTCATTTAGAGAAAAAGTCTGTTCATCCTGATCATCCGAAGCACGTCACTTTCATTCAGTTAGTCGTGAAGCACTTTGCGCTTCACTGTTGGTGAATTTTTTATGAATAGTAGTTATATTGTGACTTTATGAATAGTAGTTATATTGTGACGTATAAATTTGTGCGTGATATTTGTGAATATTGTGAGATCTAAATTTGTGCTGTGAAATTTGTGAATATTGTGAGATCTAAATTCGTGCTGTGAAATTTGTGAATATTGTGAGATCTAAATTTGTGCTGTGAAATTTGTGAATATTGTGAGATCTAAATTTGTGCTGAGATATTTGTGAATATTGTGAGATCTAAATTTGTGCTGTGAAATTTGTGAATATTGTGAGATCTAAATTTGTGCTGTGATATTTGTGAATTGCAATCGTTTTGTTTGGAATAATTGAAGTTAAGTATTATAGCCATATCTTGTTAAGTTTATTCATTATTATTGTTGTTTACAGAATCGTATTTGTGGCGTCGTTCATACGCCCGTCTCTCTGTCTCTGTTCATACAAAGAATAAGTAGCCAACGCAATCTGATGTTGAACCTGTTAGGCCATACGTTATTCATCCTTGTGACCTGGTACTTACTACGCGGTACTCCTATACGAACTATGTAAGTCTAAGTAACCTATAGTAACTAAAAATATTTTAACTTATTGTTTTCTCCATAATTGTGTTCATTGTAAAAGCGTGTTAACGTTGTTTCTGGTTCTTGTGTATAAATGTTTTGTATTAGTGTTTCATAGGTAATTTCCATAGTTGTGCTGTATTAGTGTCTCATAGGTAATTTGTTTTCAGCTTACACGTTTACGAGTAAAGTGGAGAACCCCGTCCATCTTCTTTACTCCATACGAGTTAACTGCCCGAAAGAGCGTACGACATGAACGGCTCGCTCGGAACAGTATTAGTCCACCGCGAACAATACATTCGGTATACGAGCCATCCGTTGGGTTTATTCCGAGTTCACTTTACGTTCACTTTACGTTCACTTTACGTTCACTTTACGCTTTTTTGGGTTCACTCTAGTTCACTTTAGGTTTATCTTGTATGTATTCTGTTTTCTCATTGGTGCCTTCCTGTCAATAAAGTGCAAAAATCTCAAGCTCACTTCCCTGCATGGTTAAAGTTCGGTTGTCTGGCTGGCGCTGAAGTATATAAGAGCTTTCGGACGTCACCGTCGCGCTTACAATGTAATGGAATTTAAATTATTTAAATAACAGCTATGATGATCTCACGGCCGCTATCAGCGATACTTTGGTGTGAGCCCAATTTTCGTGTGTCGGACACTTGGAAATTTGTTTTTTAGTAGGAAATGTTCACTTAAGTAGTGAGCACTTGAAAAACGTTTCTTGTTGACAATTAAAGAATTAGTCAATATTGAAAGGACGTAACAACATCTCGCATACTAACGATATAGTCAGTTCAAGGTTTATTTCTCCCCCAGAGGGAACGGACAAAAAGTCGGGGCATATATACCACTCAGCCGTCGCGCGGCCCTCCTAGACTCCACAAGCTGGGAAGAACTCGGGACGGTCATCAGGCTCGCAGAGACGGATCTCTCGTGATCAATTTGCAGCTGCAGCAGCTACTACAGAATAATATTTAAAGATTTTCAACTACGGAAATTATAATTTTATAATTTTTCATATATTCATCAGACATGTGTGCACACCGACGCATGAAACCTGAACACACGCGCAAACTCGAGCTATTCGCGGCATGAAAGATTCATTTAGAAATGAAATTCTTTTGCATCAGCTCAACTTTTTCTCTAACAATAATTCAAAAGTCCTATGCGAACTTGAATTCTTTCAAGATCTGTCTCAAGTAATCCTGATAAAATACGCGTAAAATATAAATTTCACCGTTCTTTGTTTCTTCAACGAACAAGCTGAAACGAATGGAAGATTAGAATTTTTTCATCACGGCTTGAAGTTTCAATTATCCATCAAGCAGTTCTCACAGCCGAAGGAATACCGGAATTCACAAGTCTAAAATTTATTGAAGGAAAGATGTGAATTTAGATGTTCGCAATTTGTTTCAAAGTTTGACTTTCAAAACTGCTTCGATATAGAGCCTGTCTCATGATGCTCACAGTATCGTGTAGAGATTTGTTTAAAAATTTCAAATTCCAGAAATTATGTATGGTAACTCTTGAAAGTGAGAGAGCTGATTAACTCGTTCAGTACATCTTCATATGTGCGTTTTATATTGTTTATCTCACACTATCAAGTGTTTGTAAATTATTAGAAGTAGGTGAACTTGTCTTAGAAACAGAAAAATAACAAATTTATACTTCTCCACCAATTTACTTCTCCACCAATTTGAAGAAAAGAACAGGGCGCAATGGAAGCAAAACTTTTTTCAACATAATGTTCTCAACTTCATTGAAGATGACCTGGAAAGGAGCACAAAATATTCTAATAAGCAGAAAAAGATGAGATGCGATAACAGTAAAACGAGCTAAAGTTAAATCGTAACTTTCTTGGCATTGTGAATAGATGTAATTTTTTGCTTTATATTTAGTTTATAAATTGCAGTGTATTAGGTTGAAGATTTTTTTATTATAATTTTTAGTTTTCAATCACCTTAGCTGTGACCTCCAGCAGTAGTGTGTTTTAATTGTCATTGTATCGGGCGATCTTGCCGCAGAGGAAGTCCTCGAAATATGGATATTTAGGGCCTGAACTTGTGAATAAATCGGGAAGTGAATTAAAATGTTGAAACGCATGGCTGGGCTTGTTAGAGTGTTAGATTAGTTTTTTTAGGGCATTAGGTTGGTTGTTTTGCAATTCATGTTGATTTTTCTTTAATTATATTTAAACTGCTTATCCATTGAAAAGTTTGAATTCATGTAAAGTGTTTGATTTGAAGAACGATTGCGGTCTTTTGATGCAGGGAGATGCTAGGGATCATCATTTGATTGGCAAAGTCCCCTACAAATTTGATGTTCAAGAATTGGACGCTAGGAAATACTTTCTCCACAAGCAGGGATGAATTTCAACGACGGGACGAAGGATACTGGAAATTTCTTCATAGGAGAATGAAATTCTTTCTATATAATAAAATATATAAACATATAATATATATTATATATGAATTATATAATATATATATAATTCATTCATAGTCATTCTCCGTCTATTTGCCCGCCATGAACTTCTTCGTTTACCGATGGTGAAAAATAGTTTAATTTACTCATTTTTTCTTTTTATTTTATTACTTTTTATTTTTTCTACCACTACCCTACTAAATATTACTAAACTAAACCGCATGGTTATTTATTGAAGTCTCAAGTCCTGCTTAATATGCTATGCGCANGTAGACGGTTGATCTTACCCCGAGGTAAGATCAACCCTTGATCAAGGCCTCCTTACCTGGAGGCCTTGATCTCACCTCGACGCTGCAAGTTACCTGAGGTGCGGAAAATAGAGTTGGATTTCCATTTCTTGGCTTTCTGCCATTATAATTTGGGGATTCCTATGAACCTTAGCCGGAAATATTGAGTTAATACATATTGCCTCGCCGCAAACAAATCATTTCATAACCAGAATATACCTGCTCCTTCATTCATACTTGTAAGTTCTAACCATTAATTTCTCTTGATACTCGGAATTTCTTTAATTTTTTACATGTGGCATTCCCAAATAAAAATTAAGAGTGGAGCACCTATGTTTTTATGATGGCTATAGGCGGACGCCATAGGTGGAGCAGCTTTGATTTATACTGTGAATTAAGGGTGGCGTGCACCACCTTTACCACACCTATAACCTGCCTATGGCCCCCCAAACGTTAAGCTCTCCTTCCGCCAATAACCACCCATTGGCACCAGTGGCACATTGATGAGCCAGGCGTGGCCACTTTTAAAATGAAGTCGATAAAAACTTTAAATTTAGTTTCTGATCCGATGCG